TTAAAGCTATAAATGGGGAATAAAGTCAATTTGGTGTGACTTAATTCCATCGAGGGGAAAATATTGATTTTGCCATTTGCAAATTAAGCCCCAAAAGCATTGATTTTGCACAGCGATAATTAAATTAAATGAGCTTTTCTGTCTTCCAAGTCTTCTTTTGTAGCTTTCATAAAAGAAAAGAAAAATGAATATATGAATTTTAGTAGTTTATGTTAGTGCTTCGCGGAATGTGGAATCAATCAATCTCTCAGCTAAATATCCAACAGTTTCCCCAAATGGTGGCAGAGGTAATTAAAAGACAAACTATCAATGGTTGTAGGAATATTCTTGAATGTTTATTAGCCCATTCTGCGCCTCCTGCTGTATAAGGCTTAATTTATGAATGACCAAATCAACTTGGTCAGTCGTCAATCAAGCGCGTTTCGCCAATATCGTGGGCGCTTTCTTGTACACAACAATAAGATCATGTTTTTTCCCCGCAGATTGCCTTCCACTATTCCGTCTAGGCAAACTATATATTCGTCACTCTCCCAAGTTGACAAATAACAACACACGATCGCGAAAGCTCTCCAGCCACAGAACGGATGTTGCAAAATTTGAATAAATTTAATTTGCCTTATTGTCTTCATGTGGATGAACTTTTTCGGTGTGGCGCGCGTTGGAACGGAGCAAAGAGCGAAGGCCAGAAAATAAAGCACACGATCGCAGATAAATCTTGGCAGAGGAAGTGTCTCTCTCTCTCCCTCGATATGAGGAGCGCGTCTCGAGACGGTAATCTTAATTCCTTCGTGCGGCTGCCATTGAGACTTTTCTGATAGGTACGACCGATTACATTTGATTGGCACGATTTTGTCGGGCTTTTCAGTTCAAGTGTAAAGATTTATTTAACACCCAAATATTCGGACTTTGTATCTCGCTCCTTCATAGCTCATTAATGAAGACGAAATGGAGAGTATTAAAGTCATGTTGGTGTTTATTTCGTGATCTGTGTCTAACTTATTTATTTTCTTCGGCTTTGGGAGCCCCTGATTGACATCAACTCGTGTCCAAAAGTCTAATGATGACGCTTTTCACTGCAGAGCCGCTCTGGCCCTCACGCAAAATCAACCACCCACAATTTTTCCAAAGGATACACCACATTAATCAGTCCAGATGGTCCGAAATTGAGGTGAGTGTCGATTTAATACGGTATTTAAGTAATCCATTTGAAATATCATATAATTTCCTTAGAGTCATTAAAATTTACATAACCATCTATATTATATAGTGGTAATTTGCATAAATTTCAATTCAGCTCCGTTCATTCATAAGAACCAGAGTGTGGCTCTATGAAAGTGGATTTTGATTTCACAAGAGCGACGCTGGAAGAACATCAGCGCGAGAGCCGTGAAAAGTGCAACACTTCATATCAGTGGATTTATGTTGCACGCTGTGCGACTGGGAAATTTCGTCTCTCAAGGGCCAATCACACTCTGGCGCAGTCTTCGAGTCATCCCACAAAATTTCATTGAGACACTCTTCGGCGTTATGTATTGGAAAGCCATAGAGCTGGAGGAGAGACACATTCATGAATGAATTTATGCAATTCTCGTATATCTGTATGGAAAAAAGCAGAGCAAATAGCGTGTAGGTTGAGATATTCTCTTTGTGGCTCCAATTCATAGTGTACAGGAGACAGAGCGAGAGGGAATACGTGCAGCGAGTTCATTCATAAAATTTATACACAATTTCTAACGTAACTCTATAATAAACATATACATTAAGTGCGCCTACGCTTGTCCGCCAAATAGTGAAGCGAGTCCCTTCTCTTTTGCCACACTTTGAACAACATCTACCAACATATTGTAGCCACGTCGAGGAGTCACTGTGCAACGCCAGTAGACAAAAAGAAACGACACGGCGACGGCACTGGGAAAGGGGCGAGCAGAAAGATGAATGGCCCGAGGAGGTGAGGTGAGAAGAAGTGACACTCATTCAGCGTGATCGCACATATGAAGCGATCAGTGAACGATCGATTTGATAAGAGCAAGCGCACACATGAGTTGGCTTCTGTTCTACGTGGACGCTGCGAGAGGCTGCGATGGTAATCGGCGATCATCATTAGCGTCAACTTTCATTCATCAAATTGATCAAACACTAAGTAGCCAACTCCGCATGACACGTCCTCATCTCTCACACTTTTCACTTGCACTCGGGAGGTTTTCTGTCCATCCAACTCAACTCTGGATGCTCTCAGAGTGCTTGAGATGTGTTTGAAAGTGTCTCGGCGTAGAAAATTAAGGCAGTGCAATTTGAATGAGAATCAGCAATTAACACCTTTGCAGAATATAAATGACAATTTCGAGTATTTCCATAAATCTTCAAGTATTTACACTTTCCATCCATTCTCCAGTTTACCTATAATTCCTTACCCTTCCATGTTATGTATTATTGAGCAATAAAAAGGGAGCAAAATATGGAAATTGAATCGTAAAAGATCCAAACGTTCTACACTTGATTTATAAACCGATTTCCAGAAGCTTTTTAGCAATAACTGAGCGAATTTAACGCAAATATCTCCAACACATCTCATCTTGTGTGACGCGTGGTGTGATAAATTTTCTGTATCTTCAGTAATATTATCTTTGGTAAAATTGAGTGAATAAGACTCACCATAATCGGAAAGATATAATAATTTATTTTAATCTCGTCCTCTATCAATGACAATTTCAATTTGAACGGCAGGAATTGTGGGAATATTGCAGCGTGAAATTCAATGCTGCTCATGATGGATGGCTCGAGAGGGTGACGCGATTTGCTCCTTTTGCCCATGCAAACGTCTCCGCGCTGCACCAGCAGCTTCCCCTGCAACTCGTGTTACGTGAGGCCACGGAAAATGTAGGGTTTTTTTTTCATTTGCGAAATTTGCACAGAGTGGACAACTTCATCGTGGCCAGTGGCTCTCTTTGGTATGTTACAAGAAAGAAGCATTTGCAGTGAGTGTCTTGTGTGATGGAGCGACTCCGGAATGGGAGGACGGGCGCAGAAGTGGCGGACTAATTGTGGCTGTCGTATTACGAAAACAGATTTCGAACGGTTGGGAACAGTCTCGGTGACTTATTTATCGCACTCCGGATGGCAGCAATTAATCCATAAGTGAGATAATTTATCATCTCACTGGAGAAGTTGCTCTCTAAAACTTTTCCCTCATACGGAACACCATCAGCCAAACACTGGAGCACAACGCGACGTCCATTCAAAGTACCTCATTCTCCTCATTCTGCATTTCACATTAAAATAATGCGTGTGGCGAGGCCCGCAAATAAAAGGACTTGTGGCCAGAGAAACTCCGAGGCATCGTCTTGAAAACTTATTATATCGCGGTTTATAAACACGGAATGGATACTAAGCATTGGCGATTAATCAAATTGAGAAGGGGGAGAAAAAGACTCCAAGCGCCACTCCGATAAATCTTTAACAATATTTTTGCGTCACTCCATCTCATACTCTCTGCTCATAGCTGTGCTGCATAATATATGGCTGCAAAAGTGCTCAAGTGTTCTGGAATTGCATTATACTTTTGAAAACACATGAAAACTCTCAATATGAGGAACTCGTGATATTAATTTTTGTATGAGAGCCAAAAAAATATTGTTTGGCACCGAAAACGACCTTAAAACGAGTTTACAAACATTAAAATCACACCTTCGAAAAGCTCAACAGCACTTCATGAGCACTTTTTAAGCTCGTGGAGAGATGCATAAATTTTCGGTAAGATGTGATTCAGCTCTCTTATGAAAGATTCGTGAATTGTCGATGGCAATTCAATAATTTTTAATTTTCCTCACTCTGTGTTATTTATTTGCATGGGCACACTGGTGGTAAGTATGTAAACTGGCGCGTAACGCAATTTCAGGTCAAGGTGCTTTGGTAGTTCCTTAAGAGTGTTGTTGCCCATTATTCCGCGGCTAAGAAGCCCAAAATATGCGAGACTTTCTTGCAGAAAAATTGCACTTTACGAGCGTGGAAAGTGTAATGAAGTTGAAAAGGTCACATGAATAACGAAGCTGAACAATAAATAAGTTTCCTCACTTTTTTTTCTTGCCTCCATTCATCCTATTATTAAACCTGTGCTTGAGTTTTATTTGATGCTGAGTGTCAACGGTATAGGAAAGAGAGTGAAAATTAGCAAAAGAAGCTAATTGCCACGATCAAGAGGCTATTTTTGACGGATGTGTTGTTCTGAAAATGTTTCCCTCGGCGACATGACTTCGAAGGAAAGAAGTAAATAATAAATCATCAGTATGAGAATTCAGGTGACAAAATAGTGTGTGTTATAATAATATTCTTGAAATAGTCGCCCATCCCCATTTAATAGTCCTCCCATTGCCAACAGAGTGAAGATGAACTCGCGATGTGTTTTTATTTCTGCCAAAGTGACAAATTTTCACTCATTCTATATGGATTACGCAATTTTTTCCACTTCAACCACAACCAGTGTCCTCTCTCGCTTTTTCAGCACTCTGTGGGATACGTGACAGCGCTTCTCGTGGGTCCACAGAGTCCCCTGTCTGGCGGAGAGAATGCAAGATGATCTTTTAATGGGATTAACTTGTCCCGCGATCGATGAGTGAGCAAAAGTGTGACGGAAGAAAATAGAATATATGTTTTTTTTTTCTTCTTCTCTGCGCTCTCTCAGGCCACGAGAATGTGGACCAGTAAACAAAGCTCGGCAGGAAATTAGCCAATGAGACGAGAAATTTTTCTCATTTTCGACACACCAGCAAAAATTATCCTCGCGAGGAAACATTTGGATCCATTTGACGAAAGCCATGCCGTGGTGAAATCGCGGTGAGATGAGAAGGAAAAAGGTGTGTAATGAGATGAAAAGAGCTTATCCCATTGGATCGCATGTGAGTAATAAGTGAGGCATAGGCTGGACATTGACAATGTGCGGCGATCGGCGCACAGGATGAACCCATGAGTGGCGAGATTTAGTAATAAAATCCATGTGAACTGACCTGATCCATTCCCGCCAAACCATAGCGCAACTAAATCCTCACTGGGCGACGTGTGGTGATAGTTGCCATAAAGATAGGGACTCGGATAGTCAAGCAGGACGCGCCTGGACGGAGATTCCGCTATTGTTGGGGGAGAGACAAGAAAAGACAAGCCATGAGAATTCCTACAACACAGCGCAGAGTGGATTAAGCGAAAAAGCAGGAAATGAGAATGTACGCAAGATTCTGGCATAAGTCTCGGCTCAATTAATTAATTAGATCATGTTGAATATGTGGAATTGGAGGGCTTCCCATCTCTCTCGCGAGAGTTCCTTGTCTTTTCGTGGTAATTGCGTTAATTGACAAGCATCCGGGCTTCCCTTCGTCGCCCCCAAGCGCTTCCCCAACCAACGTGTCCCCCAGGCGAGTGAGTCTCACCTTGTGCCTGATTCGAGTACTCGGCGGCTTTCTGCAAATTGACGCGAGGACGTGCTTTTGAGTTGTTAGCAGTGCTGGATGTGCCCGAGTTGGCGTTGCTGGATGGCGTTGAATCGAGGAGGAGTTGCTGCACCTGCAGGATGTCCACGTACTCATCTAGACCCGCTCCTGTGGGACCCGCAGAACTGCTGAGACAAGAAGTTTCTGCGGAGAGGAATGTGCACAGATTAGCACGAGCGAAAATGCCGTCGGTCAGGTGAGAATTTCTTCATCGTCTTCGACTGAGAGAGAGTTTGCATTGCCCGTCACGGACAAAATAATTCGATTATTAAATCGTGAAATTGTTGTCGAATTAGAGAATCGTTTTGGGAAAACTATATTTTGAGAGACAAAGCAATTATTTAATTAACAGAGTTTTACTGTAGAATGAGAATTGTCTCTTTGTTGAGATAAAAGTCACTTTTTCAGTAGGATTTCATATAATTTTTATATGATATTTAAAGAAATACTTCAGACATAAAAAAAAATCCAGAAGATTTCTAGATAAGTTTTGAAACTTTTATCATTTCAAGTTTCGTTTTCAATGCAAGCCGTCGGCGTGCTCCTTTCCATAGACTCACCGTTTGAAGGATAAGACGAATAGCCGCTGTTGATATTGGGCACCAGATTACTACCGTTTCCAGATGATCCACTACTTCCGTATGGTCGATCACTTTCACGACGCATCGCTAACATTGTCAATAGTTGAGGCCTTCAGTTCGAGGCGAAGGAAAAAGGAGATCTCCATCACTTGGAAAACATCACAGACCCCGAAATCCTTTTGCACAAGCTCCCGCCCGAGCGACAACAGTGACTCTACCGGCACAATAACGTCACACACGGAAGGATTCGCAGCGTAGACTGACAAAAAGGACGCTCCAGAGTGGAGTGAAAAGTTGCTGCAACGTGGGCAGGAATTGGAGTGAGAATTCTGGGAAAATTCTATTAATTTGCCCCGATAATGTTGCCTCAGTTACACATGAATTCCCTCAATTTGGCGTGACCTTTAAACCCCTCCTACAAGGCTCTCCAGGTTTCACATTTCCACTTGTTGCTCCTTTTATGTTGCTCCAGCACTCAAGTTCGCACTATAATCACTGAAGCACAGCACAAAACACGCGATTTTAGTGACGATGCGATGATCCTTTTGCCTTTAGCGGAATTTTTCACACGAGAAACTTGTCTTTTTTCGTCCCTTTGCACACCACAATGTGTCCTTATGCTACGTAATCTACGAAATTGATCAAATTCGGGTAAACAAGAGTGCGAATGACAAATTTTCCGACTCCCTTCGCTGTGTGTCGCATTTATCCCGGGAGTGTAGTAACTTTCTTCTCTCTACTAAATTTAAGAATGGGCACATTTAGTTATTTTCACAGGCAACAACTCGACGCCGGCGCTCATTCACAAAATTTATTCGACAGACACTTGAGATGGCAGTGAAGGAACACTGGATGCACCACTAATTACTCGTTTCGCTGTTGATCACAGTTTTAATCGCTGCTGCCAGCAAATTGTCGTTGAAATTGCGGGAAAATGGCAAAAGGGGTTTTCCCTCAAGTCAGACACCAACAGTGTTTCGGAACGTTCGTAACGCGGAGCGACGCTGTTAATTCCTCCTCAATGGTGTTGCCATTGAATTGGGAATTCGCACGAGTCGAGGAATTATTGAAAAGCACACACGACTGAGACGGTGATTTCTTGAAAACTGTATCTCTCCTCCACCACCACAGAGTCGGGGCGTCGGAATACGATCGGAAAGCGTTTGTTTGATCATCTCTCGCCGGAGCGCGAGCGCCAAGTCTCCAATATGCTTCGCGCGCTCTCTTTCTCCTGCGCGCCAGCAGTGCTGTGTGCTGGGGACTACTTGGGGCCCGCGGTGACGTACCTCCGTGACGTCACGCAAAGCCGCGTGGGCTCCCATGCAGAGTCCAACCTCTTTTCTATATTTGTCCCGTGTTTCATTTGCTCGAAGGCGGGTTGTTTTTTCGCCCAAGACACTCGCGGCTGCCTCGGCGGAGACGAGATCACACATCAGGAGGAGAAGTCAGTCGCGCTGAGACGCAGTCTGGGGCAGAAGGAGGATGACAATGGAGGACAGAGCCAGGCGACACACCGAGCACTGCGCTAAATGATAATGACGACGCAACAGTGATGATTTTGCCAACTGCTTCCACGCTCGCGAGCCAGTGCGTGATGCTGCGGCGCGAGAAGTGGGCGAGAAAGGGGAGGAAATCAGAGGTCTGCGCAGCCACATTCAAGTGGCGGCAGCACTTTTCACCAACCAAATCTCCCTAAATCTCAGCCTGCGACGGCAGTCGAAATTCCGGCCAAGAGTGCCTGCCTTGGAGCACTTCTGCATGAGATGCGCTGCCTGGGGAAAATCTGCGCGCAAATTTGCTGTGGCACAACATCGAGTAGCTTGTCCCGAGACTCAGCGCTCGCCTTACTTGTTGCGCGTGATTCTCTACCAAGGATCAATCGCTCCCTCCCTGGCAGCGCGGGGGTGAAAACTCGAGCTTCCAGTGAAATTTCATACCTAAACTGCCGCCCACGCGTCGCTTCTTCGCTCATAGAGAAGATTATTATATGGGGAAATCTGTTTTCTAGCATCAACAAATTGTATCTCTTTGTTGTATTTTTTTTCTCCATCTTCACTCTCCTCTTTAATTCATCAATTTATTATTGAGAAAAGCTCAGGTACGTGTCGCCCACTCGTGTGCCGCGAGAGTGTGTCTTTTTTCCATGTACCGGATGAGGAAAGACTGGAAACCGCACAAAATTATTATTCGTAATTAGAATAGACCGCTTTAATATATATTGTATATCGAAATCCAGGTGAGGAGCCAAGAGAGACTGTTAAATGTTGATTGTTGTGAAATAAGTTTTTAATAATAAATATTACACGTAGAGAGACGCATTAACCCACCCACAAATTAAGAATATATCATATGAATAATGTATATATGAATGGCTATGATGAAAAAATGAGCAACATGTTGTTTTTACCTTCTTACACGCTCTGTGTCGCAGTGTTGGTGAATAAAGTTTTCATATAAGGAAAAAAGACACCCACGTGCCACTCTATTGAGACTCTGTCCACCAATCCGACACTTTCTTGTATTTTATGAATGGAAAATGAGTACAACATATGAATGAATTGTGGTGTACTTTTCAATGAGAACCCAATGATTGCACGAAACTCGCTTGTTCCCTGATCTCAAATTTAGTCTCCATCCAAGCTCATTTATGCATATTAACTTGAGATCAATGATTTCGAGAATTGCTTGGGCGCAATATTGAAAGACGCCAGAGGAATTCTTAATTTTCACTCCATTCTCGCGGCACAAAATGACGAGGAAGTTGATTGAGAAGACTTTCCTCAATCAATTTTTTTTTGTCCCGCGGAGATTATGGCTTCTTGAGTATTTGATGTAATCTCCAGGCCGCTCTGATGGCAACGCCGACAATCTTGTCAATCAGGATGGACGCTTAGGTAAATAGTGAACTCCCATGTAGTCAATCAATTGATGGTGCAACAATTATTCCCTCTGCAAGGCTCTATTTGAATTTAACACCCTCACTCATAAATGCTGCAAGTGTCAAGATTTCATTCCGATACTCAACTGTGGAGTGTGTGTATTCTATGCTGTGGCCAGAATAGTGCTCATGCCACAGAGAATATGCTCTCTAAGTTGAGCATTTGTGGTTCTCCAGCACAAACGATGTTATCTCGCTTTTCCATGGATTCAGGTACAAGATTTTACGTTGTTCCTTCACCATTTAACTTGAATTTTGCCACTGTAACATAAAAATCACTGGGGAATATCTCAAAAAGTCACGACTAAATGGTTATTATTTCTCTGTCTCGGCGCTTTTTTTCTGCTTTATGTGTACAAGGGACGTCTCTGAGGGTATGGAGAGAGAGAGAGTGAGTTAAAAAAAGGTGGAAAAAGAGAAATAACATCACGTTATATTTGACTGTAAGATGTGAGAGAAACAAATTATTAATGGCAATTGATTTCTATCTTATCTAGCGTACACATTACATTGAATAATAATCCCCATTTTGCCTTTACATAACACACAAATTATCTACATAATAAATTCACTATATAATCAAATTATTATCAGGCAAGGGGTATCTTCATTCATAGAGCGAGAGTGAGACTGAAAATCTACATTTATTGAAATTACCGAGAGAGTCCATCTCGTCGAAAACGGTGAAAGAGAATCGCCTTGAGTCACCTTCTAACCGTGAGATTGGCGATGGAGAATGCAGAAGAGGCGCACTTGCATCTTGCATGCATTTCATCGTCGGTGCCCCTTCTGATGCCACTTTTTTTCCCGGGGCCCGCGCAAGAGGCAGGCAAGGAGGCCCCGAAGAGGCTCTATTTGAAGTGGAAGTTGCATATGGGCACAAGTGTGCGCCATTTAAATACAAAAGTAAATTGGATCTAAGTATAGTCCATTTATAAATAATACTGATCACTATCAATGCAAATTGCACTCTTATATACGCGCAAACTATTGGAAATCTAAGGCACAGATCTGCACAATTTATTCCAATGGAGGAGAGCCTCAATGGTGCCACGGTCGAGGAAGGATGAAAGTGGCGTAGGGAAATAATTCATAGGCCATTGCAAGGTACGTTCATTTCTCGCGATGAGCACCGCAATCTTGATGATTTGTCAACGATCGGCGCACGCATATTTATGATTATGCCACATGGTGGAGGAGATATGTTGCAAAAAAGTCAGCTGGGTAATTGTGGCGATTGGGAAAAACTCTCAAATGATAATAAATTGTAATGGAATCAATTACAAACGATTTACACGAATCAACGATCATAAATAGTTGCAACCCCGAAGACTTTCTGATAATGCCATACAATTTTCCACACTAATTGTACGCGATCATTAATCACACCATACAGCATTTTTTGCTCCCCGCGCACTCGCTCATATTGGTGACTATTTATTATTTAAAAAACGACCCATTCCTCCTGCTTAATTATACATATTTAGCGTCGCTGCGGCTCTAACTACAGATCACAGTTGATTTTTCACCATGACCACACTCACTGGCTCTGTGATTATCACGCAAGCAATTCGCATGGCGAGTCTTGCACTCCATGCGCGGCCGTCCCTTCGCGTCCGCGCTCCGGCCAAGACTCAAGTCTCAAGCGGAGCACTCAGATGGTATTGAGCAGTGTCTGGTCAAATGTCGCCACCTCTATCGGCGCGCAGCTCAAGACGAGACACGTCGCATTCGGGTAATCTCTGACTCAACTAATGGCCATTTAATAAATTTCTCTCATATCCATACTGGAATATTCCTATCACTTTTCGAATGCAGACATTCCTCATATTTAATGCAATGGCCATCAATTGAGCTCATTTAGTGATTAATAGTCGTCGCGGATTTATCAATTAATAAAATGGCCTGGTGATTCGTTACATGGCACAGCGAGGATACCGCGCTTGCTCAGGGCTGGATAGCGTGGCAAGAGATCCCTGCTACTCAATTCACAATTCACTGGTGACTAGAGCTTCAGTAGCTGAGCCCATATTGACCTATTCTGTGAATTGCTTCATGTGAAATTGCGGAGCGCGAAACAGTGACATAAATGTCAGACAATAAATTCCGACTCCCATCGACATGTTAGTGAACATTAAAAGAGCAAATATTGAGTCTTCTTTAACGGCCCCAGCATAAATTTGTGTCCGTGCGGAGCCCCTAAAACTTTATCCCCTGGCTGACCGATGGCACGAAGGAAATATTGGAGGGACTGGTGATGATTTAGTGATCCAAAATAATTCCATATCATGAGGTTCTTAAACTTCATCGCT